TGCTGGTCTGTCAGCTAATCCTTAGGCTCTGTCGCAGGAGGAGGCAACAAACGAGAGAACTGACTATTTCATATTTATCTTTAGTCACTAAAGTGTGCATGTATTTGCTTACCTGAGTAATAAAACCATTTGGCATTTGTAGGTTTATTTGACTCAGAGAGACGAAGAGTAGAAAAATGTTGAAAACATAAGTGCTGGTGAGGTTGTTGGATGTCAACACTCTTGTGTTCTCTTTCAAAATTTTAATCTAATAGTTTGGGAATTTGGTATACAGCATACTGAGGGTTAAAGAAAGTGAGCGTTACAGTAGGGAGCAGTGGAACAGTAACAGCCATCTCATATGTATTTTCTGAGACGTCCATGTGGCATCAGACCTGTTGGCATGCAGGGCCTGTTCTTAACTCAATGTGCAAGGTTAAATACATTTGCTGTTCAACAAAGTCCCAGCTGTGTATTTCAGTGTGATTAAACATTTAGTTGACATGTCTCGTGGCATATAGAATAGCCTGCAATAAGACAAACAAACTGAAATGGTCCTTTATATTAGAAGGGGGAAAACAAATAAAACTCTAAAATCTGAAATCGAAGTCTGAAAATTTGAAACAGATTTCAAATTTGTTGTGTTTTCCCCTTTTGTAGTTTACGGTGCACACAAAGACCGAACGCTTGTAATACTTGTGCACCGATAAAGCGTGTTTGATCCGCTGATTAACTTGAACACGTTGCCTCTTCACCTTGTGAACGTGCCTGCTCTCTCAGCAGCAGGTCTGTAAACTGGAATTCCGTGTACAAATGGTAACTGTTTTGAATTTGCGAGCGTGGTGCTTTATAAGATCTGTTGCTTTTCTGTCCTTCTAGATGGAAGAAGATAAGGGTTCAGTCAGCTCAGCATGTGACTCTGCTGAAAGCAGGCACAGAGGGGAGGACAATAGGCAACTGCTAGACCCATCTAGCCTGCCCGACAGTTCCTACCTTCACTAGGTAGTACTCCCACTCTACCCTAATGTCTGTGTGTGTATATTTACAGATATCATCTACAGGCCTCATGGAGCCATCTCCAAAATACCCATGTTTTTGGTATCTACAAGAAAATTTGCATCACAGTATGTGGGTTTGATTTTTCCTTATCAAGCTGAATCATTCTTTAATTCTGCACTTCAGTTGCTTTTTGATTTACTGCATTAAACGGGCCATTATCATATAAATCATTACATTTATTGTGATCCCAGATCTTGCCTTATGAAAATACTTTACTTATTTGCAGCCCAAATATGAATAATATCAGTTATTTCTCTGTACTTACTTTTTTTTAAAGCATTGTCTCTGCCTTTTGTTTCCCAGGGTTTGTTTCAGGTCTTCAGAGACCGTTATGCTCTAGTGCCTTACTGTGCCAGGCTCTACTTTGAAATAAAACTGTGATCATAATTGTCTGCCACAGAGAGAGAAGTGAGAAAAAGGACTCTTTAGCGTAATATAAGTATCTTCCTTCTAGGTAGTGGATATAAATATAAAAGTCCATATTCACTAGGCAGTGATACACAGTATATCTGCACATAAAACTGAATTTAATTTTACGTTGTCCTTAATGCTCTCCCATTACGTTACACTTAACTCTGAGTTTGATAAAACAGAAATGTTGTTCACAGGCTTATGGATGGTCACATTTGCTGTTTTTTTTTTTAAAAAAGGGTCATATTAACTTCTCCATAAATTGCGGCTCAAGCATGATCCGAGCTTTTTGTGATGATCTAACTTGAGAAGAACAAAGGAGATTCTAGTGGAGAAGAGACACCAGCCCTCCAAAATCCAGCACCAAGGGTTCACTCCTTGGAAGCTCGTTTGGGTTACTCTTGGTTCCTCTTTCTGCCAGTCTTTGAATAATACCTAGGACTGCTAGCTCTCAGGTCAGCAGATTCTAGGGGAAAAAATGTCTAGTCCATCTGCTCCTACCTACAACCGCTGTAATAGGACCTTTTACGGTAGCTTTAAAGGTGTTACCTGGTCTGCTTCAGGATAATGGATGGACTAAATACTCTTTTTGAAATCCCAAGTGTAGGAATGTTGAGGGTTTGGTTTGTATTGCTGTGAACACAGCTGTGAAGAGGACTGCATGGCAGCAGGGAGCTTGCTTGCTGCCCCGTGTGGCTGCTTGCCTGACGCGCTGTGAGCGCAGCATGAAGTGGCTGGGAAGGTCGTGTTCGCTAGCACTGCAGTGCTGCACACTGGGCTGGTCCTAGTTACAGAATCATGGAATCATAGAATTGTTTAGGTTGGAAAAGACCTTGAAGATCATCAAGTCCAACCATTAACCTAACCCTGCCACTGGAAGGTGGTTTAGTTCTTGTCTTTATTTCTCACCATCCAACCCTATTTTAATCTACAATAAGTTAGTTTTTCCCAAGCTGAGGCTGTTTTGCCTGTGATGGTAGTTAGTATCTGAGCTCCCTGTCTTGAGGTAGTCTTGACCCACAAGCTTTTCCACCTTCTTTTCTCCCTGTGTTGTTGAGGAGGGTGGGTGTCTGGCAGCTGGCCAAGGTCAACCCACTGCACAAGTATTTTCCCCTCTTGGCACAATATGTTTTAAGGGGATGGAGGAGGAGGAAGATTAAAAAAATAATCACATGGTTACTACCACTACAGCTGATGAAATCCCACATCTCTGTCACCAGGCTCAGTTGTTAAAGCTTACGTGAACAGGGAGACAGAAGCCCCCCAGAGCGATACAGCAATGCTGTTGGGTTCCTTGTGCTGGCATCTAAGAGTGTTGCACGTAGGTGAAGCAGTCACTTGACAAAAGCCAGCAAATGCCCATGGACCACTCGGGTCAGATGAAGATTTCACGATGTACAAGTTTGATCTGATCCCACTAAGACAAAAGAAATTTGTCCTAAATTGGGCAGTAACTAAAGGCACATGTATCAAAAATACCACGTACTGGTTAAACAATTTATTCTTAAAGCAACCAACAGAGCCTTATATCAATTATGTCAAGCCTCAGCTGAAAAGCATCTAGAAGTTATTTGGGCCACAGAACAGAGTGATCCCGTTATGGTGTCTTCTGTGACAGCAGAATTGTGACCCGATGTGACGGTCGTCAAATAAGGGCGGTCAGGGCTCTGTTGAGGTGTGTTCTGTTCTGGGTTTTTTTACCCAAACCCCGTTTTAGAGCTGTCAGTTGAAATGCTCCTGCTCCTGCCTCTCGAGTTCATTGCCACAGTAGACGTTCATTTTGTGTCCAAAGGCCTCCCAGATGAGCGTGAGTTGGTCGGAAGCGTGTGCTCTGCCTGCACATTGGTGGCCTCAGAGCTGCAGCAACTGGATCGAGGGTTTCAGTTCGTAATGCTCTGTAGGCTCACGCCGTTGTGGCCAACAGTCCTGTAAGCATCACGTTGTGCGGCACGGCGGGAGGATCTGGAAGGGACCATGGGGAATGCAGAACAGAGCCAAGGAAGGGGCGGGCATAGGAAAAGGTACATGGGAACACCAGTTCTGCCTGTGTGCTGCCTCCTTGTCCTGCCAGTTGGGATTTTTCTCTTGGATTCCCAAACGCCTCTTGTTTCTGTCAGCCGCCGCCTCTTTGTGGTATAGGAGTTGTTCTGTTAGGAAGCTGTAATCTGCCCAGTTGCCTGTTGGGGGGGTTAGGAAGGAATGTGCCCATTCACACTAAACCATTCCCATAGGAAACTGAGGTTCTTTGCTTTCCTTGCAGTGTTGGGCAAGTGTGGGTGGCACAGAAGAAATTGGGGTTGGAAACCAAAGTCTTTAGGCAGCAGTCACGGTGAAAAGTTGGGGGAAGCTCGTAAGCGAGCTGCGTCCTGTCGTAGGGTCAGGTGCCTCCTCCCGGGCCGCTCCATTCCCTGGTGTCTGAGAGCGAGGGGAGGATAACGGATGCGCGCATCCGCCTGGTGTTCGGCAGTTGGGTGATGGGATGCTCTCGTGCAGAGGTTCAAATTCAATTAAAAAATATCCCCACGCTCCACACCCTTATTTCCTTTTGGAAAGGATGCTGAAGGCGGTTCTGGGTATTCTTTCTCCAGCAGTACTAGATTTCAGTTAGATTTTCGTTACGCTGCAGTTGACTGGTGTGCAGAAATAGTGCAGAGGAGCACACTGATGGATGGCGCTTAAACCCGCGCGTCTGCGCTACCACTTGCATTTTGTTTGGCTCTTTCTTGCCTACAGAGACTGAACAGTAGAGAGGTTATTACGTTAAATTACTCTTCATGCTGGGATGAATGACTGAACCTTTGTAACATCCCCTTGTTTGCATTTAGGTAAAAGATACTGACACAGTCAGGAACGCGCTTTAGTTCCTTGCCAGGCCGAGGGTACCGGAGGCAGTGCCGTAACGTACGGTGTTAGAGGAAGCTACATTCCTCGCTTGAGGCAAAATTATTACTTGAGACCAGGCTGCTGCGCTGTGTTCTGCAGCCCTGGCCTGAAGCTTTCCCTTT